TGGGTAATTTGAATTCATTGCAGAGATCAGAGAATGGTTTGAGGCTGTCGCCTCGCAGCACTTGCGATAGTGTGAAAATGCCATGCCTGAGCCAGAGTTTATGATTGAAGTCTGGGATAAATTGTCTGATCGCTTCTATTGGGGTTGCTGGTGCCAGGGGCGATGTTGCCCCCTCTCTTCTTGCGATAGCTGTCCCATATGGAGACGGTTTGGGCTGTTGGTTCACCGGCAGCCAGGCTAGAGTAGGGAGCGAGAGACCCCCGGCATGGGCTCTCAAATTTCAACCCATGTCAAGGGGGTCCTGTGTTGAGGAGCCGCGATAATTGGGGCAATCTGCGCCGCCCTGTAGTATCTTTTTATGTCTGGTAGGCCCATCCCGCCTTGAGCATAAGTTCTAGAGTGGCTTAGAGCCACTCTTGTTTTTTTATAGTCCCATATGTATTTGTTTATGGTACGTTGTAGATCCTCTACGTATTTGTTGGAGACTTTGAGAGGGAGCGTGCGGAACAAGTATTGGATTTTAGGTAGGATCACCATCTTGACTGATGCTATCCGGCCAGTCCAGGATCCATATTTACCCTTCCAGCTGTGCAGTAGAGCTCTAATTTCTGTGAGGAGTTTGGTGTAATTTGGTTTGTGTAGTGCGGCCGTGGAGAGGGTGAAGAGAATACCTAAGAATTTGATGTGAGCACGTTTCCAGTCGTAGTGGAAATTAGCTTTGAGGGTAGTCATTTCCTGGATCTGGACATTAATGCTTAGGGCAAGAGTTTTAGAGATGTTCAATTTATAGTAGGAGCAAGCGCTAAATCGGGAAAGGATTTTGTGGAAATTAGGTAGATATATGTGCGGTTGTTCCAAGGTAAGTAGGATATCATCCGCAAACAAGGACAATTTGTATTCCCGGCTCTTGGATTTAACGCCATGTATATTTGGGTCATCCCGTATCAGTTGGATGAGGGGTTCCAGTGATAAAATGTAAAGTAGTGGGGATAGGGGGCATCCTTGTCTGGAGCCATTATATATGAGGAACGGTTTGGAAATGAAGCCTCTGTTTACAACTCTGGCTGTCGGGGAGGAGTAAAGCGCTGTGACGAGGGACAAGAATTGCGGAGGAAATTCAAATTTCCTGAGGACTGCCATTAAGAAAGGCCAGTGGAGCCTGTCAAAGACTTTCTCAGCGTCCAGAGATAGTAGGACACTAGGGGTTTTGTTCCGTTGTATCTCGTAAAGTAGGTCTAGGGTTTTCCTCGTGCCGTCTGCTCACTGTCTACCCCCCACAAACCCCATCTGGTCTGCCTGTATCAGTGAGGGAATTATATATGTGTTAATCTATTAGAGAAGATCTTTGCTATGATTTTGACATCCGTATTTAGTAGGGATATGGGGCGGCGGTTCTGGCACCTAGTCGGGGGTTTCCTTGGCTTGGGAAGGGTGGCGACATGGGCCATCAGCATCTCGCTTGGTAGTTGTCCTGTCTGTATGGCGTGGTTATATACTTTCCGTAAATAGGGGGCTAGTAGCAGCGCAAATTGTTTGTAATAAGCATTGGTCATGCCATCCGGGCCCGGTGATTTCCCGGAAGGTAAAGAGGCAATGGTGTCTAAAATTTCTTGTGTGGTGACCTGAAGTTGTATAGCATTTTTCTGTGTGTTAGAGAGAGTGGGGAGCTTTGTTTGCGTAAGAAGGTCATCTATCTCTGTTATTGTTGGTTGGTGCAGTGTTGGGTCTGTTTTGAGGTTGTAAAGGGAGTGATAGTAGTCGGCCATACTGTCGTTGATGTCTTGCGGGTTATGTATTTTATCACCTGAGGTGGTGACCAAGTGTGGGATTTTAGAGTGAGCCTGTTGCCTTTTAAGCAGGGTGGCCAGGTATTTCCCTGCCCTATTGCCTTGAGTGTATGTTCTCAATTTCAGTTTAGAAAGGATGTGGGCTGTTTTTTCCAAAGAGAGTGAGTTGATTTGTCTGGTGAGGTCTCGTATTTCCTCTAAATAAGCTTTTGAGGGTTGAAGGAGATGAGCTGTTGTGGTATCCCTCAATCTTCGTAGAAGGTCTATGCGTTTCTTGTCTCGCATGCGTTTCAGGAAGGACGCATGGCTGATTAGAAGGCCTCTCATGACTGTTTTATGGGCTTGCCATATTGAGAAGATGGAGGCTTCTGAGTTATCATTCGTCTCAAAGTAGTTCTGTAGGTTAGACTGTAACATCTTTGCAAAAGAGTGATCGTAAAGTAGTGAGTCATTGAGGCACCACGGTGGTTTACCTCGGTGCTGGTAGGTGGAGTGTAGTGTCAGTGTTAATGGGGCATGATCTGACCATCCTATACTGCCTATAGAGCAGTCCTCTATGTGTGGGAGTAGCACGCTGGAGGCAAGGATATGGTCTATTCTCGAATAGGTCTTATGTACCTGTGAGAAAAACATATATTCCTTTTCCGAGGGGTTTCTTGTTCTCCAGACGTCATAGAGGCTGTTTTCATGGATACGTTTTGTGAATGCCTTGGCATGCGGTTTGAGTGTGAGATGTCTGGTTGATGTACTTGGGGCGGTTGAGTCCAGGCGAGAGTCCATAGTATGGTTAAAATCACCACAGATGATCTTGGTCGTTTGCATCGTCAGGCAATTTGTTAAGGACTTTATATAGGAAATTGCATTGTTGGTCATTTGGGCTATAGAGGTATACTATAATGTAAGGATGTTCATTGATTCTGCATTGTAGAATTATAGAACGTCCTTGGCTGTCTTTTTTGACCCGAAGTGTTTCCACCGTCAGAATTGTGGAGTAGGACAGAGACTCCCCTAGACTTGGAGGAGTGTGTAGCGTGGAATTGTGTAGGATAATCTCTGTATGCGAACGTGGGGACCCTGCCGGTAACAAAGTGTGTTTCTTGTACACAAACTATATCTGTCTTGGTTTGTTTTATGTCATCTAGTAGCATACGCCGTTTGTGTGGAGTGTTGAGGCCTCTGATATTGTGTGAGTAGATCATGATTGTTGATGCGTGTTACGAGTGTCAGGGGGGATATCAGAGTACTGCGATGCTTAGGCTGGTGTGTATAAGTATGGGCTATGTCGGTGGATGAAGGACATGGTGATGTGGGGAGGCGGGAGGGATCTCGTGGTAAAGAGGGTGAACTTTACAAAGACCTAGCGGTCTGGTACGCTAGTCGTACCGTGGGGTTGAGGAGCAGGAGCTACCAAATACGTGGCTGAGTGGGCTCCATTTTAAATAATGAGATAGAGCTGAAATCTCTTAGGTGAGGTCGTTAAGCAGAAAAACATAGCAACAATAACATAGAACAAGTAACATTGCTAACAGAAGGGCAAGCAAGTATCATGTCTTTTCTTGGCGCAGCAGGTATGATTGTTCCCTCTTTGTCACCACGTGAAAGGCTAACGTGCTTTACCCAGGGTGGTTTTTGCACCTCTATATGAGCGTCACCGGCGTGGGCATATGGCACACTTGTGCCCCCCATGTTTTACCCAGTTAGTGTAGCTTATGTCCTTGTGGCTGGACGAGAGTGACAATAGGTGTGGGCGGTTCCCGCTGAGGGGAGCTATTAAGTAGAGACTCAAGATCTCTTGGGCTTCACATGTTTTCCCCCACATTAACAAGTAGGCATTAGGATTCTACTTGAGGTGGCATTGTGGTGTGGTATAGATATGTGGCGTGCGGCATTGCTAGTGAGGGCCGGGTATGCCGGTAGAGCTTTTCACCAAGCAGCTCTTGGGCCAAAGGTGTATGGGAGCGTGTTGAGCGCCACGAGCCGGCGCAGCATATGGGAAAGTAATGGCTCATGCCCCATAGTGTGCACTAGCTGTCCAGACTAGTGGTGATAGGGTCGTGGGCGTCTGGCCGGCGCCCGTATGGACATGTAGATAGTGTAGGTCCCTTGGGTCGTACATTGTCTGTAGTGGTTGCTCCTGCTTCCCTGCATGCAGTACCTCCCGTGGGTTGGTAGTGCCCGGCCTGAAAGGTGAGTTCGGAATTGGTGTTGGGGCGCAGTGAACATTCTAGTGCCTTAAATGTCGATCCCCCGTGTGATTACATAATGCTTCTCCAGGGAGCACTGCCACATGTTTAGGGTCAAGTTATGCAGCGGGCCATTGCGTGCGTGTCTGCGTGCAGGAGGGCATTCCCAGTGTGGTGGAGAGGCAATCAATATTTACCAACCAATAGAGTCTTAGGCGTTAATGTTAGCTAAACATAAGTGAACAGTTCATGATGCTAGCCGTAAACATGACTGTCACTGCTTAGA